CATGCCTGGACCCTCCGTGGAGACAGGAGGGGCAGGGGATGTCTGATTGTCCAGGGGTCCCACCCCTCAAAGCTAGCAGCTGGAGGGCCTGGGGAGGAAGGGGCAGCCGGGCTCCCCAGTGGAAGAGGGGACAGCTCATCAGACCCTTCCTGCTTTTGCAGGCGATGGGAAATATTGCGATAAATCTCCCTCCACTTCCAATCTACCCCCTCCGCCCGGGCTTCCCCAGGAGCCTGGGTCAAAGGATCAGGGACCCCGGTTACCACGTTGGCTGCTCCCACCTTCCCTAGAGCCAAACTTTCGGCGGGGCCCAAGGAGGGGTGTTCCGGAGAAAGAGGCTCTGCTGAGGTGGTTCAGGGAGGGGGCGGGGCGCCCAGTACTTGGACGCGGGGGAAAGGGACCGGGGCTGGGGGAGGTGCCCTAGAGGACAGGGACCCCGGCAGGGAAGGGCGCCCTCCCCCGGCCTCGCAGCAATCAAAAAGCACGTCCCCTTCCTCCCGCCCTCAAGTCCCCGCGCGTCCACGACGCCCGGGTGCCTACGGGAGGGGCGACCCGTACCCAGACCGAAAGGGGTAGATCGGGTAGAGCCAGGGGCTGCTGTGGCTCGTGGGGCGGCCTGGAGGCAGGGATCCGACCCAGCGCGCACCCCCGAAGCCCTCATGGCTGCCCCGGACCCTCCCCCTCGCTACCTCGAGGGCAGGGTCTACCAGGGAGCTGCTGCACAAAGACGTGGTGGTCGAGGGAGACGCCAAATCGTTAAAAGGGGGAATCCACTTCGGCCATCTTGGAAGGGAGGAAAGGGAAAAAGGGACAGAAAAAGAGGAGAAAGAAAGGCGGACGGGGCGAGCGAGGATAGGGGCTGGCGGGGCGGGAAGCAGACCCGGCTCACGGCTTCCCCTCCCACACTCAGGGGTTTGTAGAGGACGGACCGGCCCCGTCCCAATCCCCGTACGGCACAGGGTTGGAGCAGGAAAGGAAGGGGAGGGACCCTTCCCTTCCCCAACAGCCTCCGTGACCCGGGAAGATGAATCCTCCTGTTACCCTCCGCAATTAGCCCCCTTCCCCCAAATGCGCGTGCCCCCCACTGACCCCGCGATCCCCACCCCGAGCTGGGGCGCCTGGAAAATGGTGAAATGCGGGCTGGGCTGAAATGTGGCTCCTCAGTCCTCCCGCCTCGGCCTCCAGCAACGGGCGCTGGGCTCGGGCGGGGGACGCGGCCCTTCAGGCCACGCGTCCGGGTGATTTTCATTCACTGCAAGTGACACTCCCTTAAAATTAATAACCGCCTCCGTGAGGGAGAGCGTGTCCTGCCCACTCCCCCTTGCCCCTCTCGGCGGCCGGGCCGCTGGCTCTAAAACGCCCCGGCCAGGGCGCCTCGGGGGAGCAAACGGCGGGGCTGGGGTGGGTGGAGGGTGAGGCTGGGGCACGGGTCTCGACGCGGGGGTCTCGCTTTGCCGGGGGAGAGGCCGGCGCCCCCGCCGTGCTCGGGCGGAGAAGAATGGAATGCAAGCCGGGGAGGGGAGACGAGCTGAAGACGGGACTCAGGCTCCGGGCCTGGGGCACAGTGACCCGGCCGCACTCGAGGCCAGCACGGACTAGGGGACGAGGCGCCCGCGCTTTCCCCGCGCCGCGCGGATTCCCACATTTCGCTCGCGCTCTGCGCTCGGCGCGGTCCGTGCGCCTCCCGCGCCGCGGAGGCGGGAGGAGCCGGGAGCGCCAAGGCGGCTGGTGCCAGCCGACTCCGGCCGTCGCTCCGGCTCCACCCAGCGCTCAGGCTCGGGTCCCCAGCGGCTCCGGCCGGAGGGAGAGAACGAGGAGGGACGCTTGGAAAAGCCGGGAGGAGTGGCGAGGCCGGCGCCGCGGAAGCGAATCGATACTACGTTACGGCGACGACCGTGGGTCTCGTTAGGACGGTCGATTCGCTTACTCGTTATTCACGATTTATTAGGGACGGCCACCGTGCCTGACCCTCCGAAGAGCTCAATTATCCTGCCAGAAGCGCCATTAAGCGCAGTGACGGTTAGGCAAGCTCCGGGGCGCCTGCCTCTTTCCCTCCTTGCTCGCAGCCAGGGCAGCCCCCAGGCTGGGGACCCCGGACTGAATGCTTTCACCTCCGGCCGGCGACCAGGAAAGCTGCGGACACGCACTGCAGAGTGACCCCTGCTCCAGCCTTCAGCCCACACCGGCCTAATGGGGGCGGGGAGGAAAAGGAAGGGCGGGAGAGATTTCCGCCCAGAGGGGGTGGTCCCAGAACCGGCGGGAGAAGGGCCAAGGGAGGATCCGGTCACCTGCTCCCCTGTCCCTGCACCGGCAGACCGCGAATTTACGGGCCCCTGTGCAAAGGGTTTTTTTGGCGTGGACACGCCCACTGTCCCCAGAGCAAGTGTGTCACCGACAGCCCGGACTCTGCCGGGGGAGACTCGCGCATCCACTCTGCGGGAAGGGGAGCGCGGCAGGGACTCCGGGCTGCCACTCTTTTCGGGGTAGAAGACCCCAAGTAAGAGAAACCTGTAGGGGCTTCGCGGAGATCTCGGTCCCACCCACGATCCACACGGGCACCTGGGGGCGGTCCCTCGGGAGAGTATCAGCCAGTGGAGAAGGGACTGAAGTTCCTCTGCGGCCCATCAATCCTGGTGGGCTGCCCCAGAGTGCCACCGTCCTACGCGGGGGTCTAATCACTTATTCCTCAGTTATTAAACGCCAGTCACGATCAAACCGCTAGAGAGAAGGAGCATTCTGAAGACCCCACTTACCCACTAAAACTTATTTAATCATTTCCGTCCTGGACTCCGTTCTGGACGACCAGTCCCCACATCCTTGGCCTTTCTGGTTTATCAGGAGAACCTTCTGACCCAACCCTTCCTACATCTGTCTGAAGTTTTCTCCTTTCCCAGACTTTATTGACTGACACAGAAGCACCCGTCATGTGCCAATGTAAAATTCTGCGCTGGAATCTGGGGACAGATGAGCAGGGCTTCGGCACGCAGGGCACTCAACAGGCCGGTGGGCGCAAACCCGGAGGGACACACAGTTTGTCGGGTTAGCTCCCACAGCACCGAGGGTGAGCGCCGGCTAAAGTGGGTGAGCACTGGAGAGGGTTTTCCTAAGAGGCTTCCCTTGAGCTGAATCTTGAGAGACCAAGTGTCGAAGAGAACTTATTAAAAGAGTGTTTTGCATATTGTCCTGCACAAAGGTTGAGGCTCCCACTCCGCACCCCGGAACGCGCCTCTGCAGACATTAGGTGCCAAGGTTTCCCCTTGATTTTGTGTTCCTGTCTCACGGGGTCCTCTAGCTAACAGCTACTCATCAGAAGAGTCACTGAGTCGGTCACAGACTAGAGGATCCCAGAGGGCAGGAAGTCGGGAAATCTAGGTAATTATTTCGGTTCATACCAAGAGCTATTGCGAGGATAAGTTCCCTTTTAAAACCCTAACGATGGTAGCAGAGGGCGGCTCCTCTATAGTGCTTTCACGGGTGGCTTTACTTCTGTGTCCCTTACACCTCTTCTTTCACCAAAACAATGTCCTCTGTCAGTTTCTGCTTCTATTCCCCCATCTCCCTCCCATTTCTTTATTTCTAGAAAAAAAATTGTTTTGTTTTTTCCCTTTTTTTGATGCTTCTCGTGTTAAGTATTTCTTTTCTCTCTGTCCATTTTCCTGAGGTCTTCCCCCACTCGTCCCTCCTATTTCTGTGTCACGTCCCCTTTCTCTGTATCTCACAGCTGAATTCTCCCGTCCTCACCTTTGTTTCTCTTCATCCTTCAGTTTGCACCTGCCTCTCTCTCCTTACTTTCTTCCCTTCTAATTGTAATATTTCGAGATAGTAACATCGATTGAGGCAGACAATGGAAAACTGTCCAACCACCACTGCAAATTCATTCTTAATCTTAAGAAAAATGCATGCCGAAACGTTCTATACACTGAGACAAAAACCTGTCTTTGGCTTTCCTGATCAAATCAAGCTGTGGGGGAGGAAGTGCCTGAGGAATTATCCCATCATTGACTGAACAAAGAATTTTCGACCACAATGACCCTCCGATTTGCTATTTAAAAAGTGTTGCCTCTGCCATCTCAATACAACATCTGGCTTTTGAGCAAAATGTCTAGAAAAGAAAGCGTCCCTGGGTGGGCTCGAACCACCAACCTTTCGGTTAACAGCCGAACGCGCTAACCGATTGCGCCACAGAGACCGTAATAGCCACTGAGCTGGCGATGAGCTGAGTCAATCGTACGGAGCCCGGAACAGCGTAGAAAGGAGAAGAGAAGTCCAGCAACCGAAGAATCGGACCCCGGGAAGAAGAGAAGAGTCCCGATCCCGGTAGGCGGGCCCTGGGGCTTAAGGGAGGACGCGGGACGTGCACGCCTCTCCTTCACTGCTCTGCGAGGGATCGGCACTGGCTATCTTCAGGTTCTACCTTAGATGTGGAGAGGCCCAGAACATCCCTTTTCAGGGCGACCTGAGACTTGGGGATACGTGAAGTCAAACGGCTGGGGGTCCCAAGAAGCAGAATCTCCGGACTCCAAAGACTCTTCCTTGTAGCTGAGCCCCTACAGCCGCAGAACACACGCGACGCCCCCCCCTTCCCACTTGCGTCATTAAATTTGCACTGAAGGGGCTCCTCCTATATATCAGAGACTTCTGGTCCAGTGAGTATCCAGAGCCTAGCAAAGTGCCTGGGAGACGGTAAATGTCAGGATAGCTGGGGTGAATAAATGAACTGAGCTAGCGCGAGTAATACGTCCAACTCATACAGCTTGTTGACAAGCGCCACGCGGCCCTACAGCTCCGGCCGCAGCCCCAAAACCCGGCTTCAGCAGCCCGCGTGTGCGCAGGTCCCGCCCCCGGTCTCGGAGGTCCCAAGTCCAGGTCCGCCGAGATCCCAGCAGGCACCGCGACGCCAGGCTTTTCCGCACTCATAGTGACTTTCCACTTTCTTCTTTCCCCGCCTCCCTTTTGGCTTCTCAACCAAACTAGCCTGCACTGGTGACTGACGTGGATGCACAGCCAATAGGAAGCCCGAATGGCGAGGAAGCGTCTGCCTATCAGCCAATGGAGAGAAAGCAGCGAGAGCGGTCGCGCAGAGAAGGCCAGAACCGGTTTACTGGAATTGCAGAAGCGGTCGGTGGTCCAAGTACACAGCAATCATGGTGAGATGGGGGGCAAAGAAAAGGGGCGTGGAGTATGGGTTGAGAAACCGGGAGGGGATCAGGGGAGGTTTGGGCTCGGAGAGGGCCTGGTGGTGGTTGAAAGGAAGCCCTTTGACGGGGAGCGGACCGCGGTGAGGACCAAGGGGATGAGGGCGCCTCCTCGCCGCCACGCCGGGCTCATCTCCGAGCTGGAGTTAGGGACGTCTAGGCACCTCGAGAGTGGAGGACGGGACGTACAAGAGCCTCCAGATCAGGGACTGGGCCGGGGACAATGGCAGCGTTTGACCCTTCTCACTGAGCCCCTGCGCTTTGTCTGTCCCAGTCTATTATGTCCTATAACGGAGGGGCCGTCATGGCCATGAAGGGGAAGAACTGTGTAGCCATCGCTGCAGACAGGCGCTTCGGGATCCAGGCCCAGATGGTGACCACGGACTTCCAGAAGATCTTTCCCATGGGTGACCGGCTGTACATCGGCCTGGCCGGGCTAGCCACAGACGTCCAGACAGTGTAAGTGTCTGGGGTCTCCGCCCACACGCAAATCTCTTCTTGGATCAGCCTTGTCTGGCGTCTTGAGCCGCCTGGGTGTCGGTAATCTATCAAACACCACCAGTGAGTCTGAGACTTTTCCGGATACCGTAGCGATACAGAGAGGTATCCTAACCAACCTCTGCCAGATTTATTCTGTGCCAGACTCTGTGGAAAGCATCTTACGTGCATGGATTCATTTAACCATCTTCCCGATATTACTTGTTGCTGTCCCATTTTGCAGATGAGAAAACTGAGCGTCTCAAGAGAGTGTCTTGCCCAATATCCAAGTTAGTGAGTGTCAGCCAGGCTCCCAACGCAGGTCTTTATAACGCCAAAGTCTGTACTCAGTTCCTAAAGAACTTCTGGTCTAGTTGGGAGACAAGGCATGTATACAAGAAGATAACCAACCCATGATGAGTTGGTGCATTTTAACTGCCATATTATCTAATTGACAGTGTTTATATGATTTGAGAAAAGGGAGATTCTGGGAGAGGAAATAGGTAGCTGTTGTGTTGGTCCAGGTGTAAGGGTTATGGTTCTAATGGAGTGGGAGTGGAGGGAAAGGAAGGGATTTTTCAGAGTCGTTGCTTACCAGCCTTAGTGGCTACTCAGAAATTGTTGTGGGGGCAAAGAAAGAGTCCTTCATTGAGGTCAAGTCTGTGTTTTTTTTTTTTTTTTTATCTAGTACTAGTATCTAGACTAGTACCTGGCATATAGGAAAAGTTTAAAAGGTGATTCCTGTTTTTTTTTTCCTTTTTGTCTTTTTTAACCCTCGGTGTTGCGCCCGCACCACGCTCAGCCACTGAGCGGGTGATTCCTGTTTTGAGCGTGTTGACTACAATGTAGGATTTGGCAGGTAGTAGAGTGGTGCAGCCAAAGTGTGCTGGGCCCATAAAATATAGGCGTTGGGAGGACTAGTTTGGGGAAAAGATGATGACTTTGATTTTGACACCAATTTTGAGGGGACAAAGGAAGCCAGATAGAAACATCTTGCAAGCAGTTGGGGTTTTGAAATTACATCTCATGGCTGGAGAGGCATTGGTCATGTGTTAAATCTATGGGAGCGGATTTTGGAGAGACAAGACGAGGGGGAAAAACAAGCTGCAGTTCGAGAGCTGAACCTTGTATTTAGCAGTGGATGAAGAAGAGAAGCCAGAGAAGGAGACAAGAGGAAAAGAATAGGGATAGGATTTCAAGAGGGATGTGTGGTCACAGGTGGCAGGTGCTGCAGGAAGCTGGTGGCCTAAGGAGCAGCAGTTCCTGAACTTATTTCCTAAAAGGTCAAGAGACTAGTTGACTAATGTGAATGGAAGCTTGTTGAAAAATCGTCTCTCTCTTTTCTCTTAAAGATCCCTAAGTCTCAAGAACATATAACTTCCCGAGGTCTAACTCAGGCCACCCTTTTTTCCTGTCCTGGTGGAATCAGAGTGATAGCTTAGGGTTTCTGTCAGTGTGGCGGCTCCCATCAGCCTGCATCTCTCCAGTCACTGCCATTCTCCTCACACCATTTCCTTTTCCTCAGGAGATTTTTCTCTCTGAGTTTGCTTGCTTGAGGGCAGTAGTCCCTAAGTAGCAGGCCTCAGTTTCCTTACCTGTAAGATGAAGCAAAAGTTATTTTGAAGGCCCTTTGTTCTGGTGTCCTGCAGCTCATTGCTTTTGCTTCCAGCAGATTTGGCATTGGTCTGCTCTATGCAGGGGCCTATCCTGGGGCTGTGAGATGGCACTGGGAGAAGGTGCCTTTTTTTTTTTTTTAAGGCACCTTCCAGTCTGTTAGCACAGCAGCTGCTGCTTGTTAGTCACATAAGACTTTGCAGTTTTTTTTTTTTTTTTTTTCTTTTTGTCTTTTTTCATGACCGGTAACAGGATCGCAACCCTCGGTGTCGCACCCGCACCGCGACCGGCAACGGGATCGCAACCCTCGATGTCGCGCCCACACCGCGCTTAACCAGTGAGCAGACCGGTCTGTATATGGGATCCAAACCGTCGGCGGGAGCGCCGCCGCACTCCCAAGCGCCGACCGGGCCGGCCCAAGACTTTGCAGTTTTTACTTGGCAGGGTCTGAGATTGTATGTCTGTGTTCCTCCTGACCTCCATAGGGTGAACTCTAGGGGACATTTAGCAAGGACTTGCTAACTCACTTTTCTTCTCCTACCACAGTGCTCAGCGCCTCAAGTTCCGGCTGAACCTCTATGAGTTGAAGGAAGGCCGGCAGATCAAGCCTTATACCCTCATGAGCATGGTGGCCAACCTCTTGTATGAGAAACGGTGAGTGGAAGTGTAGCCTAGGACTCAGGGGATGCAGAAACCTTTGGCTGGCAACGTGGGCATGTAGTATGGCGGGAGTACTGTGGGAGGGGATTCCTCCTTGTTGTCCCGTTTATTATTTGCAGGACAGCATCCTATTTTATGAGTCTTTTTTCTGGGTCTATTTGACAATCAAATAGGAAAGAAAGGACTTACTTCAGAAGAAGGCAAGGAAGGCAAACAGCAGATGAACTTGCTTCTAAGCGAAAGAATTAGCCCCCACAAAAGAGTGTTCTGGGATTTCCCGGCCACGAGCCCCCCTTACTGCAGAGGTAGTCTATCAGCACTAGATTGTCTGGAATAGCACAGAACCTAGGGATTGGATGTGCTCGTCTTTGTCACTTCTCTTTGTAGACTGTACAATGAGAAAGAAGGGGTTGAACTGTACAATTCAGTGCAGAAGCTGAGATGGAATTGAAGGGAGGCCCTAGACGTACTTTGTCTGTCCACCTCTGGGCAAGACTGGGTGGCCAGAATACAAGTTGAGCTCTTTTCCTTTTTCTTTTCACTTTTCATTTTCAAATAATTTCAGACTTTATAGGAAAGCTGTAAAAGTAAAGCTTTAGCTTTAGCTTTCAAAACTAAAAGTCATTAGTCACGGGCCGGCCCCTTAAAATCTTTTTAAAATTATTTTTTTGTAGAGCTATAAGTGAAGATCATGCCCTTAGAAATTCCTGCAAGCTTTTATAAGACATGTGGATAACACCTCTTTACTTACTGTTTCTATTGAGGATATTGGCCATTAGTTACTGAGTATTTTATACATAAAGATCCATCTGTAAGACTGATTCTTCTCGAAGCTCAGGGTGTAGAACAAATTTCTGATGAATTACCATTTCCTTTTGGCAATGAGACTAACCCAGCCCACTGAGTATCCCTCTTTGCCTTGCTTGCTAGGAGGCTTGGAACAACGTTTGTGTTCAGTCTGAGTGTCTTGTATTCTGTCTTAGTGGCTTAGATTTATTTTTCAGTGTTTTTCCTATAAACAGCTTCAAATCATTTTTCTAAAGGAGTAGTGTTGTAAATGTGCAAGATTCTGGGCCGGCCCGTGGGTCACTCGGGAGAGTGCGGTGCTGATAACACCAAGGCCCCGGGTTCGGATCCCATATAGGGATGGCCGGTTCGCTCACTGGCTGAGTGTGGTGCTGACAACACCAAGTCAAGGGTTAAGATCCCCTTACCGGTCATCTTTAAAAAAAAAAAAAAAAATGCAAGATTCAATGGTGGGATAGATTAGAGAAGATTAGAATAAAGCATAATTCCCAAAGAAAGGAGGAGGAAGAGAGGGTCAGGGGTGAGAAGGATATGAAGGTAAGTGTCGGAGAAAAGAAGATGAAAAAGTCTTAGAGCGTTACCAGATGCCAGGAAAGGGAAAGAGTTGAACAGAGCTGGCCACAGGGAAAAGTGATTTTCCTAAACAGGTCCTCCATTTTCCTCCCCAGGCCTGGGCCAGGGCCTTGTCTCAATAGGCCAGACCATGAAAGTGAGTGTTCTTGAGTTCTGGTTTCTCTCTCTGGTCCTGGTCCCCACAGGTTTGGCCCCTACTACACTGAGCCAGTCATTGCCGGGTTGGACCCGAAGACCTTTAAGCCCTTCATTTGCTCTCTAGACCTCATCGGCTGTCCCATGGTGACTGACGACTTTGTGGTCAGTGGCACCTGTGCTGAACAAATGTACGGGATGTGCGAATCCCTCTGGGAACCCAACATGGTGAGTTGATGGCATGGAGCAGGGTTGGGCTCTGAGGTACCCACCCTTGGCCATCAGGAAAAAATGTGTTTATGTGGCAGGTAATGGGGAGAATAGTACAGATAGGAGAGCAAGCCACTGCTGCTGCTCCTTGGGGGGTGGGAGGGAGGAGGTATCCAGAAATTCCATCTGCCAGTACTAGCAGGCCTCAGAGGAGAGCCCCTTCTGGTAGGAGAACCCAGTCAAATATTTGCTACAACAATAAATAATTCCTTACATTGGGTTTGCAGGGTTCTCACATCTGTTCATTGAACAAGCATTTAACAAGACGTAGGGTTAGAGGCAGCTCAACAGAGTGGGCTTTGGAGCTAGGTTGTCTAGGTTGAAAACCTGGATCCACCCACCACTTAGTTACTGTTCTTGGGCAAGTCGGTTTACCTCTCTGTGCCTCCATTACCTCTGCTGTAAAATGGGGATAATAATAGAACCTACCTTGGAAGTGGTGTTCAGGAAAACACCTGAAGAAATTAGAAGTGTCTCACAGTGAGGGTCAGCTGTTATTATCATGAACTGCCAGCTCTGCCAGGCTTTGGGGAAACCAGACACAGTCTGTCTTCAAGGGCTTACTGCAGTCTAATGAAGCAGCAGACACCCAGACACCTGTTAAGATGCAGTTTTCCAGGAAGAGAAGGGAAGAAAGGGCCTGGTGGCAGAAGGAATGGCCTGTGCAGAGGTACAGGAGGGACCACGTGTGTTCAGTGGCTGGAGAGAACTCGGAGTGGCTGGAGAGTGAGCAGAATGTGTGGTGAGATGATGCTGGAGATCAAAATTAAGATGAGACTTTGGGGCCGAGCCTGTGGCGCACTCGGGAGAGTGCGGCGCGGGTTCGGATCCTATATAGGGATGACCGGTGCGCTCACAGCGCTCACTCGCTGAGCGTGGTGCGGCCAGTCTCAAAAAGGACAAAAAAAAAAAAAAAGATGAGACTTTGAAGGGCCTTGAATGCCAGACAAAGGAGTTTGAATTCTACTTCGCAGTAAGGAACCTGAGGAATCAGAGGCCTGCTGGTGTATGTGACAGGCTGTTGTCACCTGCAGGAGGCACTGAGCTCCTGAGCAAAGACAGTGGCAATGGGGAGAGTAGAGGGCAGCCCGAGTCGAGAGGACTTGGCCACTCAGGACAGAAGTGCAGGAGGTGGAGATGCTGAGGATGGCTGAGTTTTCTAGAGAGGCTAACCAAGATAGAGAATGTAGGAGAAGGAACAGTTTTGGGGAGGAATGGGTTTATGGTTAGACAGGTTGAGTTTTGAGGTACCTGTGGGATATCCAGGAGTCCATTGGGCTGCTGATAAAGCATATCACAGCCAAATAGGGATTCTTCTCCCTATTTTACAGATGAGAAATTGAGGCTCAGTGAAGGGACATATTACTTGCCTGTGGTCAGACTGCTGGCTAGTGGAGGAAATTTAGGGCTTGAAGTCTCTTTCGTTTTCCTTTATATAATCCTGCTTCCTTCCAAGGGAGGTGCTGAGGGTGCTCCCGACATCCAGGCAACTGTCTGTCACGTCAGGCATGGCAGGGACCAGAGCTGGGACCTTGGGGCCAGGCCAAGTTAGGGTTTGAGGCTCTGGGCTTGAAAAGGTTCTACTCTGTTCGCAGGATCCAGAACACCTGTTTGAAACCATCTCCCAAGCCATGCTGAATGCTGTGGACCGGGATGCAGTGTCAGGCATGGGAGTCATTGTCCACATCATGTGAGTGTGTGTTGGGAGAAGTCTAGAAGCTTTGCCGACACCTGCCTTTCCTCTTCCCCACATGCACACACCCTATCTTTCCAGTCTCCAGGTCAGGTGTGAGATAAGAGGTGCCTGTGGTAGGCATGGGTTAGCAGAGGTCCATGCTTCCCTAAGGGTGGCAGCTGGGAGCCTACCCAGATTCCCCTGGCCTCTGCCAGGTGAGGCTCCCCGACCCTTAGTTTCCTCCCCTTACTCACAGTAGACATTTCTTTCCTTCCTTAACAGTGTCCCCAAAGTCTCAGGGATCTGTGTGGCAATGAGCCACAGCAGAGCTACTACAGCTTGGTTGAAACTCTAGGCAGCTCCCCATCCTCTCTCCCAATTCCCACCAGTCTGGATCCAGAAATGTGTGGTGTACTGAGCTCTGGGAACCATTTTCCAGCCCTAGCCAGCTCCCTAAATTCCATCTCCTTTTTCCCTTTATTTGTTTGGGGCTGTCACCAGGAACCTGATTGGGCAGAAATGTGTGGTGTACTGAGCTCTGGGAACCATTTTCCAGCCCTAGCCAGCTCCCTAAATGCCATCTCCTTTTTCCCTTTATTTGTTTGGGGCTGTCACCAGGAACCTGATTGGGTGGATAGAAAAATGTTATCCCAATTGCTTTCCTACATTCCAGAATGAGCATTTGGATCCTTTTCATTATGGGACAGCCTGCTTAATTACTATAAAAAGCACAGAATCTACCACCCCAAGGGTTCTTTTGTGATCACTGGGCAGAAACACACCACATCTTTTCTCTCCTAAGTTATGGGTTCTCTAGGCCTGGGGGAGCCCCTTCCCTTCTTTGGAGGGCTTCTCAATCCAGCCCTGAAGCATTTTCTGGGAAAGCCTCCCCTATACGGCTCCACTTGTGGAAAGTCTCCCCAGTTCTGTTCTTCCTCAGCACAGGCTGAGGAGACACACCTAGAGTTAGAAGGGCAGCTGTTGGATCTGCTCTCTTACCACTGAGGCTTGGAGCTGAGGGCTGGGAGAGGGAGGCACAGTTGTGGTCTAGATGGGTATACATGTTTTCCTGTGGTTTTCTCTCTTCAGTGAGAAGGACAAAATCACCACCAGGACATTGAAGGCCCGAATGGACTAACCCTGTTCCCAGAGCCTCCCCCCCCCCCCTCTTTTTTTTTTTTTTT